CGACCGCGACGGCGACGGCGACGGCGACGGCGACGGCGACAGTGACGACGACGACGAAGACGACGTCGACGACGACGACGACGACGACGGCGACGGCGACGAAGACGACGACGACGGATCGCAGCCGAGGACCAGCGGCTGATCTACGCCGGCAAGGCGCGGATGATGGGAGAGAGAAGATGAGGACGAGGACGAGGACGAAGAACAACAGGAGTGACGGGAGGAGGGAGACCGAATTGAGGAACCAGAGAGAGGACAAGTAGGAGGAAGAGGTGGAGAGAATGGGGAGGACGTCTTCCTCCTCTCCTCCTTCCTCCTTCCTCCTGCCCCGTGAAGGCCAAAGAGTGTTTTTGGGGATCGGCACCCCGTCGCGGGCCCTGGTCAGAGTGAAGGATGCTCTGTCCTCCAGAGTGATCATCCCCTCTCTGAAGGGTGCCGCTTCCCCTTGTACCGTTTACGACTTTCGAGTCTCCTCCCCTCGCGGTTGTCCTGTCCTCATCCTGCCATTCCTCCTCATTCTCCCTCCCCCGTTTCGTACAGTCGGACCGAGGTATAATTTCGAGGTCGGTTCGGGGAGGGTGCCCTAGTGTTCTTCGTCTTTGTTGGATGTTTTTGTGCATCCTGGGGGAGGGTACCCTTGGATGTTTTGCGTGTGTTGGCTGGCGGAAGGCCTCATGTTCTTGAGGGATGTTCTTCTGGCCCAGGTCCCACTGTAATCTAATCCTGCCCCTTCCTCCTCATCCCCCTCCCCCCACTGAGATCCGACGCTGCAAAGAAGTGCAGCATCGCAACAAATCACGACCGGAGCCTGGGACCTCATCTTTCGGCGTCGTTTCTCGAGCAGCATCGATCTATGAGGGTCCTGGGGGCTCGAAATGAAGCGAACACGCCCGTGGTGAACGAACATGCAACGGAGGAGGAGGAGGAGGAGGAGGAGGAGGAGGAGGAGGAGGAGGAGGAGGAGGAGGAGGAGGAGGAGGCGGAGGAGGAGGAGGAGGAGGAGGAGGAGGAGGAGGAGGCGGAGGAGGCGGAGGAGGCGGAGGAGGAGGAGGAGGCGGAGGAGTGGGAGCCGGCCGGCGCCTCCGGCGGCGCGCCGGTGGCCCGCCCGTGCTCGCTCCAGGGCCAGCCCGCGCACGCCCCGTGCCCGCCTCGTGCCCGTCCCGCTCGGGCGGGGCCAGGACGAGGACAATTCAGAAGAAATTCAGGGGCAGCGATCGGGGGGATAGGCATAAGGGGGGGATGCATCGGGCCCCCAAATCGCCCATGGATCGCCGATAGGGGCCCGATAGCCCCAGCCTGCCCGTGAAGGCTCGGATTCAGGATCGGAGGCACGCCGCCGATCTATCGGCGATGCATCGCCGATTCCAGGTCGATGCATCCCCCCCCTATGCCAGTCCCCCCCTATCGTTGCCCCACAATGATATGATCCATGCGGGCCCCGAAAGTGTACGCCACCACCACCTCCATTCCCCCTCGCTCCTTTACTTTCCTCTTCCCCTCCGCTGTTCTGGGGGAGGGAGGGGGTGAGGGAGGTGGTGGTGTTCAGTCGGGCCTGTCCCCCTACAGGGGATTGTCGACGAAAAATAAAAAATACTAGAAAATAGTAAAAAAATAGTTCAAAAATAGCCTGGGGACTATTTTTTTGAATATTTTTCTGTCTTTCTGGGACATTTTTGGGGTATTTTTTTTGTCCGTCGAAAATCCCCCTGTAGAGGGACACGCCCGACTTAATGGTGGTGGTGGTGTATGTTTTTGGCCCCGTCTTCCAGACCGTCTCGGAACGCTCTCAGAGCGTTCCGGAACGCTCCGAGAAGGCCGCCGCGCCAGAGACGTCCTCCAGAGCCGCTGGATCTCAGAGATTATCGATGTATCCTCACCCGATGTTATCCTCGTACTGGCTTCGTCTTATGCAAGATCGAGGTCTTTTCGGGGAGGGTACCCTAGTGTTCTTTATGTTTGTTGGATGTTCTGGTGCATCCTGGGGGAGGGTGCCGTCGAACGTACCTCACTTTGGCTGGCGGAGGGTCTCGTGTTCATGAAGGATGTTCTTCTGGCCTAGGTCCGACTGAAGCTTGCACCACGGGGTGCACCAAATAGAATGCAACACATTTTGCGCAACATAAGCGGCATCCATATAATGAAAGGCCTCCCGCCTGCGCCGCCGATCCTGGACGCTCCAGGACGCCCCGTGCGATTTCGTCATTTTCAAACAGTTTATGAGTTTTACCTCGACAAGGCAGGAGGGAGGATGAGGAGGGAGGAGGATGAGGAGGGAGAGGAGGAGGAGGAGGAGGAGGAGGAGGAGGAGGAGGAGGAGGAGGAGGAGGAGGAGGAGGAGGGGAAGGAGGGCGTTGGCAGTCGCGCCAGGCGGTATGTTGAAGGGAATGTTTGCGTCGTGTCCGTCTGTCGTCGAGCTTGATGGCGGGCTCGTTCCCTGATGGGTTGGCTCGTTGGTCGTTGGGCTTGGGAGCCCCGGCCCCAGCCCCGGCCGGCTCCGGCCCCGGCCCCGGCCCCGAAAAATTGATGACCCCTTCCCATCTCCCTTTTTCCCCACAAGAGCCACCCCGGCACCTCAGCAATGCTGAATTTCAGGCTGTAGTTTTTCACCATTAGTTTGCAACCCATGTAGCCCACAATCCACAGGTTGCGCATCCCACCAATCGCACCAGATAGACTGCCTCACATTTTCTGCATGTTGTTGCGATGTTGCGACACATTGGTGTTTTAGATTTTTTCTGGACGCTCAATTTCGAAATCTTTACATGCGCGCGCGACGACGCGCGCGTGTGCACCTCGTCCCGTTTGTGCTAAGAAAGTATTTAAACATGTTTCGAAGATGAAAAAGTTTGCGCGCTAGTGTTTTTGCAACAGATGATGGTGGAGGCGATACCAGCTTGGCTTGGATTTTATGATTTGTGGAGTCGGGTATACGATGGGACAGAAACATATGAAATTTCCACCCTCCCGAGGTGAACCGATACTCCTTGGAAGGGTAGATTCTAGTTCTCATTGAGAAAGGAGGATCTATTTTGTGCAGTTCGCCCTGCCGAACTTACGGTTATTAATTCCAGTGCTCGCGCAATCCTCCCCCGCGCCCACCCGCACCTTGGTTTGCAGGACAACACCGTGTGAAATGTGTATATTTCCAGGGCGTTCGATTTTGAGATCTGTATGGGATCTGAGGTTTGTAACGGATTCCAGCGTGCGCCACGACGACGCGCGCGCGTGCATGTTGTTCCGTTGTTTGCAAGGAGTTCTTGCGACAGCACGCACGCGAGGGCGTTCGAGCGATTCCGACATGCGCGCGCGACAGGCCCAAACATACGCAAGTTGCTTCTCATACCTAACCCCCCCCCCAAAAAATACACAGGGTTCCCTTGCATCGAGGGCGCCAAACACTGTGTATTACTGGTTTTGCGTTGCCACAAAGAAGAGGAAACGGAAAGGAGAAGGAGGAGAAGGATGATGGGCCAGAAGGAGGAGGAATTGTGTTTGGAGAAGGAGGAAAGGAAAAGGAGAAAGAAAAGGAACGGAGAAGGAGGAAGAGAAGGAACGGAGAAGCAGAGAGAGGTATGATCAGGGTGTGGCGCTCTCGATGCAAGGAAACCGTGTGTATTTGTTTTGCTTTTGTTTTTTTGGGGGTCTGGGAAGCAATTGCATATTTTCTGGGGGGGTTTGCAAGCCCCGACGCTCGCACTGGCCTCCCTCCCAGCACCCGTGGGGCATGCAAAACCAACAAACATACGCATGATTCCCTTGCTTCTCAGACCCCCAAAACCAAACTAACCAAACATACACCGGGTTTCCTTGCACCGAAGGCGCGAAACATGGTGTATGTTTGTTTTCTGGGGGTCTGAGGCGCATGGAAGGGTGCTGAGAGGGAGGCCAGCGCGAGCATTCGGGCTTGCAGCATAAAAGAACGCATGGTTGCCTTGCTTCTCAGACCAAAAAAAAGACCAACACAACAAACATACACAGGGTTTCCTTGCATCCAAGGCGCGAAACATTGTGTATGTTTTGTTGTTTTGGTCTGAGGCGCATGGACGGGTGCTGAGAGGGAGGCCAGCGCGAGCATTCGGGCCTGCAGAACCAACGAACAAACAAGAAAACCAAAAGTACACAGGGCTTCCCCGCCCCGTATCCCCTATCCCCTTCCCTATAGGAGCAAGCAAATGACCAGGAGGACGAGGTGGATGAGGATGATGAGGACGAGGATGATGGTGTGGAGGAGGAGGAGGAGGAGGAGGAGGAGCAAGGAGAGCATCTTGCATCAGCCGCAGGTTTGTTGTATGCTTGTTCGCTGAATGCCACGTCGCTTCCTGTCCGTACGGGTAATGGTGGGTTGTTTTTTTTAGGTATGGGTGATGGAGGATGAGTGGGACACCATACAGCAATATCTTTACTCTTGCTACCGAGTTCCTCTTTTCTTCGTCCTAGAACACAGAGAACTGAGCCAACAACATTTGCATCAGTAGTTTGCACGTGTATCATGCTACTCCCTTCATTCGATTCTTCTTTGTCGGTTCATTCGATCGATCTTCGATTTCGTGTTTCGGCCTATCTCTATTGTACTCCTTCCTAGAACACAGGGAGCTGAGCCAACAACACTTGCAGACAGTTTGCACGTGTATGTCGTTTCTCCTTTTGTTCGGCTCATCCTAGTCGATTCGTTCGATCGATCTTCGAGTCCGTGTGTCGGCCCATGTGTCCTCACGAACGGCATGGCGAGCGCATATTATGTGCCTTTTCGGGCTTACTTATCTTACTTCTCTCAGGCGCCTTTTTGTTGCAACGCTGCTCTTTCCATGCTTGATTCGATGAACTCTTGGCCTGAGTCGGGTTTTTGTTTGTTGCGTATTCTTGCCACCGAACGCTACAAGCCTGGCATTGAGAGTCCGCCCAACTGTAGAAAAAGAGCAAAGGGAGCAGGGCAAAGGAGAAAGAGAGGAAGAGGAGGGCGAGGAGGAGGAGGAGGAGGACAATGATGATGCGAAGGAGAGCGGGGGGGAGGTCAGCAGCCGTCTCAGCTTGAGGAGCGCACCCATGTGCGTCCAGGTGCTTTCAAAGCGGGCCTTCAAGATCGGCTCCTGCGCCACCATCTTTGCCTCAGGACTGCTGTATGCTGCTGTCGACAAGCGGATCGCGCCGTCGCTGGCAGACCTGGCAGCCTTCGGGTCCCTCCTCGAGGCCCAGGAGACCCTCGCCCACGGGCAGGGCAGCCGCGCCGCGCACCGGGAAGGCCCGCCGAGCACTCCGGGGCGGCACGGCGCGGTGGGCCAGCCCCCGCTCCGGCACGCCCCAGCGGGCAGCGGGCGTGCCATACCGCCGCAGTTGGTGCTGACCGCGAAGCACGGCTCCCTGGAGGAGATGCCGCCGGCGGTGCAGGAGATTGGGATGCACCCCCTGGGAGGTCCACCTCAGTATCGGCGCTGACGTATCTGTTGTCGAATGCTGGCGCCATCTGGCGCAATCCCATTTCATCCGGCTGGATTCCGCTTCCTCCCGCTTAATCCGGCTCAGTCCAGCCTGGTCCTGTAGGGCCTACTCGTGGGCGTATGCCTAGGCAGATTGAATCCACTGGCCCCCCAGTCGGGCCGAATCGTCCTTATATGTTTCTCTCACGAAGACCTCCCAGGAGTTGCAGACTAGAGGAGAACGTCCGCCGAACGCTGGCGCTGAACCCCGAGCTGCGGGCGCGCTGGCTTGGCGACGAGGCCTGCGGCGACTTCCTCCGCGCCAACTTCGGGGGCGCGCTGTTGGCCGCGTTCCGCGGCGAGCGCCGCGGGAGCTACCGGGGGGACATCTGCCGGTCCGCGGTGCTGGCGTTGGAGGGTGGTTTCTACGTGGACTTGGACGTGGAGATGCGCGTGCCCTTCCCGAGGGACGAAGCCAGGCATTACACACAGCAAAGCACGCCCCGATAGCAGCAAAAAGGCGAAGAGGCGGGTCGAGGGGTGGGAGAAAAGCACGGCGGGGAAGCCCCGAGAAAGAGATGTTGCAGAATAAACATGCACGTTCGGGGCTCCGCGCGTTGGATCTGCGCTGTCCCTCCCCCCCATCCCTGGCCCGCGGAACGCGCCAGGGGATGCGCCAGAGGCGCCGCCAGGAGGGCCCAGCGGCGATCCAAGAAATCCGCGCGGAGTTCCGACAGTTTTTGTGTATGCCGCTTTTTGTTCCTCGGCCTTCTCTCGGCTGGTGGACAACGCCACCACCTTCGTGTCCGCGCTCAGCGAGGACGGCGGGGTGCTCAACGCCCTCCTCGCGGCCACGCCCGGCAGCGAGGTGATGCGGGCCGTGCTCGCCGCCATCGAGGGGTGGTACGGGGGCCGCCGTCAGGACCGCGAGGACGCCTCTGGCTGGATGGGCCCGGCCACGCTGCTGCGTGCGTTGCGGGACGTTGCCGCCCGCGACTGCCCCGCGGTGGACTTCAGCGACGGCGCGCGGCTGCAGCGCGCGTGCGGGCCGCGCAACCAGGTGCGGCTCTACCAGGAGCGGAAGCTGCGATGCTTCGGGGGCGTGCGCGCCCGCGAGAGCCTTGAGGAGTGCCCGCGGGAGCGGAGGGAGTTCGAGGGCCTGCAGTTCGGCATCTTCGAGCCTGGGCCGGGGAGGACCTTGGTGGTCGGGCGGGTGTCCCTTGGGGTGGACTCGGATGGGGGTTGCAGAAACGGGCCCCAGAGGGGCGGGCTGGCTCCTTTGGGAGCCAGCAGGGGCCCAAGAGGGGCCCCCAGGGGCCCTTTTAGGGCCCTTTCTTTTCACCCCCCCACGCAGGTTTAAGTCGGGCCTGCCCCTCTACAGAGGGGAAAATCAAGAAATAGTCAGAACAAATAGTCTTGGGACGATTTTGTTTTACAATTGTTGCATATGTTAGGGTATTTGTTTTGACTGTTCTTTGTTTTTCGTCCAAAATCGGCCTGCAGGGGGACAGGTCCCCCCCACTGCAGCACCCCCCCTGCAGCACCCCCCCTGCAGGCGACTCAAAGTTAGGTCACCCCCTGCATATTTTAGGGCATTTGTTAGGGCATTATGTAGGGCATGTTAGGCACCATGTTTGCATAGTTTAGGGTCGTCCAATATGGGCCTGTAGGGGGACAGGCCCGACTCAAAGTTAGGTCCCCCCCCTGCAGCACCCGCCCGAGGTGGCCTGGTCGCGCTTCGCCTCCTGCAGGGAGTGGGGCTGCGGCGCGGGCGGGTGGTCCGAGACGCCGTGAGGGGCCCTCCTCCGCGCCTTCCGCCTCCTCCTCCTCCCTCCTCCCTCCTCCTCCTCCTCCTCCTCCTCCTCCTCCTCCTCTCCTCCTCTCCTCCTCATCCTCCTCCTCCTCCTCCTCCTTCTCCTCCTCACCTCCTCCTCCTCTCCTCCTCCTCCTCCCCTCCCCTCCTCCCTCCTCCTCCTCCTCCTCCTCCTCCTCCTCCTCCTCCTCCTCCTCCTCCTCCTCCTCCTCCTCCTCCTCCTCCCCCCCCCCCCCTCGTCCCCCTCCTGCTCCTCTCCTCCTCCTCCTTCCTCCTCCTCTCCTCTCCTCCTCGTCCCTCCTCCTCCTCCTCCTCCTCCCTCCTCTCTCCCTCCTCCTCCTCCTCCTCCTCCCTCCTCCCCCCCCCCCCTCGTCCTCTCTCTCCTCCTCCCCCTCCTCCTCCTCCTTCTCCTCCTCGTCCTCTTCCTTCTCTCCTCCTACGCCTCCTCCTCCTCCTCCTCCTCCTCCTCCTCCTCCTCCTCCTCCTCCTCCTCCTCCTCCTCCTCTCTGCCCCTCACTCGGAGGCTACCCGGCTGCAGCGCGTCAGCTCGCAAGCTGCCCCCCAAGACAATACACCTGCGAATCACAAAAGACCCGCCGCTGGGCTCGGCCGGGGGGGGCAGGGCCGGTCGCGGGGCAGGGCCGAGGCGTGGCACAGCGTTTTCTCTGGGACGGGGGGGGCTCCACTGCGAGGGACGAGAGGGAGGCGGCGGGGGGTGGGTGGGTGGGGATCGGGGGATCGAGGAATCGAGCAATCGAGGCTGGATGATGGAGGATCCAGGATCGAGATTCGAGATTCGAGGTTCGAGGTTCGAGGTTCGAGGTTGGAGGATCGAGCATCGCGGATCGAGGTTCGAGGATCGAGGTTCGAGGATCGAGGTTCGAGGATCGAGGCGAGGGAGAGAATATAAAGGGCAGGAATGAGAGCAGAAGGAGGCGGGCGACGAGGGCCAGGAGGTCAATGACAGGAATGAGAGGAGGAGGAGGACGATGAAGAGGAGTAACTTGACCAATCTAGGACTGTGTACTTTACTCGGCCGCGTGGCGGGACGTTGGCCCAGGCTGGGCTGGCCGGTGTGCCGTTGTAGCCTCTCCTGTTCAGGTGTGTCCCTTCTACCGCTGAGTCCGCCGCCTGGTCAGTGTCCGCCTGGACCCAAGAGCAACAACGCACGAAGGAAGGAAGGAGTAGTAGCGAGGAGAAGGAGAAGGAGGGATGAGTGCGGGGATAACGAGGGCACGAGGAGGCCGAGAAGCAGGAGGGGGAAGGAGGGGGATATCGTCGACGGCGTCACAGAGGACACGACGAGGGATGAAGGATGAATGGTGATGATTATGACGATAGTGATGGTGACGATGCTGCTGATAAGGATAATGGTGACTATGCTGATGATGATTACGATGATGGTCATGATGATGCTGTTGATGATGCTGATGATGTTGATGGTGGTACTGCTCATGCTACTGATGATGACGATGATGCTGATGATGATGGTGATGGTGATGCTGATGATGGTGATGATGATGATGATGGTGATGGTGATGCTGATGATGGTGATGATGATGATGATGATGATGATGACGCTGATGATGATTATGATGCTGCTGCCGATGATGATGGTGATGGTGATGGTGATGGTGATGGTGCTGATGAGGACGAGGACGATGATGATGATGATGATGATGATGATGATGATGATGATGATGATGATGATGATGAGGCTGCGGATGGGGATGAGGCGGATGAGGATGCTGATCAGGATGAGGGTAATCATGAGGATGAGGATGATGATAAGGATAATGATACGGATGCTGATGCTGATGCTAATGATGGTGATGCTGAGGATGATGAAGATGAGGATGATGCTGCTGATGATGATGACGATGGTGATGCAGATGATGATGACGATGGTAAGGTTGATGGTGATGGTGATGGTGATGGTGATGGTGATGGTGGTGACGGCCGTGTTTGCACTTCGCATCTCAGGTGAAACCGGGGGCCGTCGTGGTCGCGCCGATGAGCTGCAACCGCGTCGGCTCAAGTCTTTTGCTGGAGGGAGAGGCCCTCGCCCGGATGCGCTTCCGCGGCTCCGGGTGCGGCCTCCCGCTCGCGAGCAACGCCATTCTGCTGCTCCTGGCTCGCTGGTGGTTGCAGCCGTCGGCGCCCGCGGCACCGGAGGCGCCTGCCGCGCCTCCGCAGGCGGCAGCGCCGCCCCCGCTCTTCGAGGCGGGCCCTCTCTCGGCGCCGGGAGAGGCCGCGGGGGTGCAGGTGCTGCTGGCCGACTGCCTGGCGGCCGCCTCGGGCGCGAGGGAGGCGGCCCGCGCCTGCCCCTCGCCGTGCCCGCCCTGCCGCCCCTTGCGAGGCGGAGGGCGGGCAGCGGCCTTCCCTGGCTCGGGGGAGGCGGCGCTGTGCAGTTTCCTGCTGCTTGCCTCCGAGCGGGTGCGCTGGGGGCTCACGCTCGTCGGGGCGGCGGCGCGCCTCTCTTGCCGGGGCCGCGCCAGGCGGCCCGCCATCGGGGGCGACCCCAACCTGAGCGCGCAGCGGCCTGTGCGGGTTGACTCGCCCGACCGCCGTGGTCATCGCAGCGGCGGGCTCGGCCGCCTTTCAGGATCTCCGTGGGCGATGGGATTTGGGTGAAGTACGACGAGCCGCCCCTTCGCTTGGCCCACAAGCGTATCGTGGTGGGCGTCTCGGCTCGGAACGCCGGGCACCACGCCTGACTTCGACGTGTACGTGGAGGAGTGCGACGCTGGGAACGCGGACATCCGCAACTGGTGGAAGGAGTGGGGGCCAGCAGCCGTCCCGCTCGGCGCGGTCATCCCAGCAGGGATCAGACGGTATGACTTCGCCGCCACGCCGACCGTCGCCCAGCTCGCCCAGGCCTGTGCGCTGGGTGCCGCGAAGCTCGGCGAGCGCGACCAGGCCGCTGGTGCAGGCGCTCCTGCTGCTGCCCCTGCTCCTGGTGCTGCTGCAGACGGCGGTGCGCTCGCCATGTTGGTTGCTGGCGGTGGCGGAGGCTCCTTGGCAGGCGGCATCGCCGCAGGCGCTCCCATGGCCGCTGATGGCGCCGCCGCGGCCGCCCCCGCCCCCGCAGCTGCCGCTGGCGCGGCGGCTGCGCCTGCCGCAGCTGGTGGGCTTGCTGGGCTGGCGGCGCTGGTGGCTGGGTCCCCTGGTGGACATGCTAATGGTGAAGCTGTGGCAGGGCCCGCAGCCCACGACGGTGGAGGCGGCGGGCCAGGCGACCCTCGGACGCTTGCGACATCGCACGACAGCCAGGGACAGCGGCACAGAGAGTTCAGGGATAGCGTCCAGCTCATGCGGCCGACTTCGTTCCCTGACTGGCCGATACCAGGCCCGAGTAGAGCGGCGGCTCACCGATGGGGCATCACCTCGCCTGGAAGGCGGCGCTGGGCGCTGGAGCGGCCGCAGGCGACCCGATCGTCCCGATGCATCACGAGTTCTCGGAGATCATGCAGGTGGCCCAGTCGTACGATCAACTGGATGGGTCGAACTTGGCGTCGATGGAGCTCGCGGCGAGGCAGCTCCAGCTTTGTGAAGAAAGGTACAAGGACAAGCTGGTGTGCTCGCGGGCCCTCGGCAACGGCGGCGACGAGCAGTTCTTCTTCACAGGGATGCAGTCCACGCGTGGGCTCATGGCGTCGCCCGCCCTGTCTGGGTGGATCTCGAAGCAGCTGGTTGCTGAGTCGGCCATCGCGAAGGAGCGCCGCGAGGCGCGCGAGGAGCGGCAGCTGCTCCACCCGCACGCTGGTGGCCGAGGCGGTGGACAAGGCGGCGGCTCGGGCAAGGCTGGCAAGTCATAGCCCGCGTCGCTCACGGTGCTCGCAGCGGCCGCCAGGACCTCGGCCACCCTGGAGGGCCCCCCTTTGGCCCATCGCTCCCGACGTCTTGATCACCGCGCCATGGCTGTCAGTCGTCAGCGAAATGTTATCCCTCTTCCGCTCTTCCTTCGTGATGATGCCCACCGTGCTGATGGTGGCGCCGCCTCGCAGTCCCGCGTCGGGCGGGCCAACGACGGCATCGCGGCGCTCAACTGGCCTGGCGGTGGAGGGCCGCCTCCTGTTCGGAAGCGACCCTCAGTTTTGCAGCTGCGGTCGCTCGACTACATCGCTGCGCAGTGTATCAAGTTTGGCGGCCCGCCAGCTGACATCTCTCGCAGGCGCTCCCTCTCCGACATCTGCTCCAGTTGTCCGCTCTATTCAGCGGGGCGCGGCAACGTGGTTCCCCTCAGCAAGGACCTGGTGTCCTGGCCTTCTGGAGGTTCGGCGCCTGTGTTGCTTCATGGCGCACTTCTGGAGGCTGACTGTTTATGGCTGCAGGATTGGAAGGCTCGCATGCTTCGCCCGCAGGGGGAGGCAGCGGCTCTTCGACAAGATCTCGGACTTGCTCAACCCTACATCGATCCTAAACTACGGCATCCTGCCACCTACGGGGAGTTCATCAGCGAGCTCCTGGGTGGGGGCATGCTGCGCCTGTCTCCTGCTCGCGGCCGCCGCGGGCCCCTAGGGGTCTTCGTCGTCGCCAAGAAATCAGGCCCGCAGCGGCTCATCTTCGACACCCGCGTGTGCAACGCGCGGTTCAGACCGCCGCCCTGCACCGAGCTGCCCAGCGGCAGCGCGTTCGCCCGCATGGAGACGCAGGGAGGGCAGCGGCGACACTTGGTGTAGCAGCGGGGACATTCCGACCGCCTTCTACGCCATGCAGGTGCCCGAGGACCTCTGCGAGTTCTTCTCGCTGCCCCCCAACGACCCACCCGCGACCCACCCAGGGACAAAACCGCGAACCACACGGGACACATCCGCGACCCACCCCGCGACCCACCCGCGACCCGCCCGCGACCCACCCCACGAACCGCCCGCGACCCACCTGCTACCCACCCGCGACCCACCCGCGACCCACTTGCGACCCACCCGCAACCCGGCCCGCGACCCACCCGCGACCCAGTTGCAACCCACCCTGCGACCCGCCAACATTGCTTGAACGAAAAATCGGCGCTTTCGGCGGGCTCGATGTACTCTTTGTTGAAAGTTGACCCTCGCGGCGGGCTTCTTCAAAGCCTCGCAGACTGCCGACGTCCCCGCCGCCCCTTCGCTGTTATCCTCATTCGCGGGGTGCTACGTATAGGTCAGAATGAGGGGGCCGAACGGTCATTCACTGTCCCTGGGCGCGTGGCTGAAGTGAGGTTCTGCGGTGCGGATTGTTGTTGTATGTGTTGAACATTATTAGTTCTAAAGAATAATTATTGTTGGGACCCCTGGTGCACGGCCCCCCTGCGCCGCCTAGGCCGCAGCTACATTTTCATCATTTTCGTGAGGAAGCCTCAGGTAATTCGATGTGATCAAGATCCGGTTGTTTTGTTCCCCCCCGCTTTCCCTTGCAAAAAACACTATAAAATGACATTTCTTGTTCTAATATAATCAAATTTCAAGAATCCCTTGCAAAAAATAAGGTAAAGTGGACATTCGCGCGCGCAAGACGAAATCCTTCCAAAAGCTTAGTGTTCGGAGCGATTTTAACATAAAAACATCAAAAAACCAATGGTTTTTCAACAAAAAAATGTCAAAATCTCATCCCGCGCGCTCTTGCGGATTCGTAGGAAACCAACACTTTTTAAACATTTCTGTCAAACGGGCTTTTGCGAGCAACTTTTTCGAACTTCTGCGACAACGGTTGCGCACCTGCCAGGGCCATCATCCCTGTCAAATAATACCATGCGGGACACATTCGTTTTTTCTTCGCGCGCGCACGCCGAAATGTTCAAAAACCATTGGGTTTCTTAGGAATTTTAGCACCGCGCCAGTGTAGTAGCCACGGTCGTCCGCAGGCCACGAAGTGAAGTGTCCGAACGTCATAGGGCGGGAAGCTGGGTGTGGGTGGTGGCGAAGAGTCGTTTGGAAATGTGGTAGAGCTTGAACCGGCCCCCCCACAAAGTGGGGGTATTGGCTGGCGTCGCATGAAAACCGTGGCACTGGTGAGAACACTGAGCGTTCGGGTAAAGTGATTGTATGTGTTGTTGTTGTTGTTGTTGTTGTTGGTGGTGCTGTTGTTGTTGAAATCGAATTATTAAACAGTGATTATTGTTGGACCCCCCGCGAGCCCTGGCGCTCTCGCCTCGGCGCCGGCTGCATTTCCATTGAAAAGGAGGCTCAAGCTCGAGCGGTTTGGGGGGCGCCAAAACCAGCCCCCAACAACAACAACAACAACAACAGCAACAACAACAACAACAACAATTACTAGCACGTGGGGACACTCCGTTCTCACCAGTGCCAGGGTTTTCATAGGAGGCGGGCAATACCCCCACTTTGTGGGGGGGCCGGTTCAAGCTCTACCAAATTTCCAAACGACTCTTCGCCACCACCCACACCCAGCTTCCCGCCCTATGACGTTCGGACACTTCACTTCGTGGCATGCGGACGACCGTGGCTACTATTCAGGGCCCCGCGGCCGACGACGACGGCGTGCGCGCGCGAAGAAAAAACGAATGTGTCCCGCATGGTATTATTTGACAGGGATGATGGCCCTGGCAGGTGCGCAACCGTTGTCGCAGAAGTTCGAAAAAGTTGCTCGCAAAAGCCCGTTTGACAGAAATGTTTAAAAAGTGTTGGGTTTCCTACGAATCCGCAAGAGCGCGCGGGATGAGATTTTGACATTTTTTTGTTGAAAAACCATTGGTTTTTTGATGTTTTTATGTTAAAATCGCTCCGAACACTAAGCTTTTGGAAGGATTTCGTCTTGCGCGCGCGAATGTCCACTTTACCTTATTTTTTGCAAGGGATTCTTGAAATTTGATTATATTAGAACAAGAAATGTCATTTTATAGTGTTTTTTGCAAGGGAAAGCGGGGGGGAACAAAACAACCGGATCTTGATCACATCGAATTACCTGAGGCTTCCTCACGAAAATGATGAAAATGTAGCTGCGGCCTAGGCGGCGCAGGGGGGCCGTGCACCAGGGGTCCCAACAATAATTATTCTTTAGAATTAATAATGTTCAACAACCATTTTAAGGCTGTACGCTCTTACTTGCCCGCGAGTCATTCAACACGTATACCCTACACCCTCGATACCCGCCCTCTTCGTCTTCGATCACACCCCTTTCGGGGGGATTATTTCTCTTTGCTGGGGCCGGCGGGCTTAGACGTACGGGCAAACCGGAACGGGCGGACAATCCTTCGGGGGCGTACATCTCTCTGCCCGCCATTGGAATTGGCGCGGGCCCTGCAAGAGGAGGAGGGGAAGAACGAGGGAGAGTGGGAGGAAGGGGAGGGGGAAGGACGAAGGAAGAGGGAAGATACCACGTTGTGAAGGCGTCCTTGGCGCGCGCGTGGTTCTTGAGCGCCGAAACGCAATTCCATAATAATTTGTGACGACGTCGCACGCGAAAGCGCAGTCCTGAGTACATTGTGAGGAAATCTCAGGCGGAAGCGGGGGCCCTGACTAAGTTGCGAGGAAGTCTCAAGCGGGAGCGCCGTTCCTGAGCAAATTGCACGGAAGTCTCAGGCGGGAGCGGGGGTCCTCACTAAATTGCGAGGAAGTCTCAGGCGGGAGCGCCGTTCCTGAGTCAATTGCGCGGAAATGTCAGGCAGGAGCGGGGGTCCTGAGTAAAATCCGAAGAAGTCTCAGGCGGGAGCGCCGTTCCCACGTAAATTGCACGGAAGTCTCAGGCGGGAGCGGGGGTCTTGATTACATTGCGAGGAAGTCTCAGACGGGAGCGCCTTTCCTGAGTAAATTGCGCGGAAGTCTCAGGCGGGAGCGGGGGTCCTGAGTAAAAATCGAGGAAGTCTCAGGCGGGAGCCGTTGTTGTTGTAGCCCGGGGGGCAGGGCACAGTTTGAGCAGGAAGACTTTCCTTGAGAAAAAACGAGGTGCGAGCCCCGGGGGTGGCACTTCAATCGAAAAAAATCAATGTGCACCGGTGGGGGGGGATCAACAATAATCATTCTTCAAGAGTGAGAGTTCAACAACAACAACAACAACAACAATAACAACAACAACAACAACAATAACAACAACAACAACAACAACACCAACAACAACAACAACAACACCACCAACACCAACACCAACACCATCACCAACACCAACACCAACACCAACACCAACACCAACACCAACACCAACACATACACCACCACCACCACCAACAACAACAACAACAACGCTCCAGTTCATCCTTTTTTGCTAAGGGCCGGTGCTCTTGCTCGCCGCCGAAAGCCGCCGTCCCAACAAAACCAGCGTTATCGCTCGAGACCTCCTCCCGTTTTACCTTGGACTGACTCGCTACTCTTTCTCTCATCGGCGCCACCCCCAGCAACAACGCTCCCGCTCAAGACTTCCTCCCTTTTTGACTCTAGGCGGTGCTCTTCCCCGCCGCCGAAAACCGCCGTCCTGACAAAAACAGCGCTCCCGCCCGAGACTTCCTCCCGTTATACGCTGGACTGGCGCCCTACTCTCTTTTGAATTGGCGCCGCTCCCAGCAAGAATATCCCTCCCGCTTGAGGCTTCCTCCTTTGTTCCTCAGGACGGTGCTGTTCCTCGCCGCCGACAGCCCCCGTCCCGACAAAACCACGGCTCCCGCTCGATACTTCCTTCCTTCTTACTCCAGGCGGCGTTCCTCCTCGCCGCCGACAACCGCCGTCCCAACAAAACCAGCGTTCCCGCTCGAGACTTCGTTTTGTTTTACGCTGGACTAGCGCCTTACTCTCTTCAGCATTGGCGCCGCTCCCAGCAACAACAGCGGCCCTGCTCGAGACTTCCTCCCTTTCTATTCAGGGCCAGGTCCTTGCCTCGCCGCCGACAGCCCTCATCCCCACCAAGGCAATTCTATCGGTCGATACTTTCTTGTGCTTTACCCTCGGCTGGGGCCACACTGGCGGTCTCGCATCGGCGCAGCAAGGCGCGGGCATGCGTTTTCGAGGCGGGATATGTTGAAATTCCTCGGAGGAGGTCTTTGCAAGACCACAGTGGGCGGGAGATCTGGGAGTGGGAGTAACGGACCCCGCTATAGAACAATAAAACCGCGTGGTGGGGATCATGATGGTCGAATGCTTCGTGTGAAAACATCGCGCATGAGGGTAAAATGATTGTGGTTGTTGTAGTTGTTGTTGTTGTTGTTGTTGTTGTTGGTGTTGTTGTTGGTGTTGTTGGTATTGCTGTTGTTGTTGTTGTTGTTGTTGGTGTTGTTGTTGTTGTTGTTGTTGAATTTTCATTTCTGAAGAATAGTTATTGTTGATCCCCCACCACCGGTGCATATTGTTTTTCTCCATCAAAGTGTGCCCCTCGACGCTCGCACCCTGTTTTTTGACAGGGAAAGTCTTCCTGCTCAAACTGGGCCCCTGGCCCCCGGGTTACAACAACAACGGCTCCCGCGTGAGACTCCTTACAATTTAGCCAGGACCCCCGCTCCCGCCCGAGACTTCCTCGCATTTTATTTAGGAATCGCGCTCTCGCTTGGGACTTTCTTATAATTTATTCAGGAATCGCTCTCCCGGCGCTCTGGAGTCGCGCTCTCGCTGGAGGTTTGCTTGCAACTTATTGATTTCGAACAATGGCCTTGCGTTGGAATTCCTTGCAATTTGCCTAAGCGCCGCGCTCCCGACACCCAGGCACCCAGGAGTCGCGCCCGTTGTGGCCCCATGTGCATGTCCTTCGTGGCCCCGCTGTCGCCATTTGTGTCCCCCTCACTGTCCTACGTGGCCCAGTTGCTACCCTCAGTGGCCCTACAGTTGCCTCCTGTGGCCCCGCATTATATGCACTTCGTGGCCCCCGCTCGTTCGCGCTCTTCGTGGCCCCATACGCATTCCCTTCGTGTCCCCGCTGTCGCCCTTCGTGGCCTACTTCGTGCCCTTCGTGGCCCTGCTGTCGTTCTCTCTCGCTTTCGCTCGCTCGTCGTCGCCGTCGTCGTTCGACGTCGTCGTCGTCGTCGTCGTGGTCGGTCCCCTGTCCGTCCCTCTTGGGGTCGGGTCGACGGTCCGCGGCCGCCCCGCCGATCAGCGCTGCCGCTGGCCAGGCCGACGGTCCGCGGCCGCCCCGCCGCTTGCGGGGGCCCGGCCTGCAGGGAAGAAAGGTATACCCCCCAAAAGGGGTTCGATCGAAGACGAAGAGGGCGGGTATCGAGGGTTTGGGAAATACGCATTATTGGACACTCGAGCATATAAGGGCGAACAGTCTTAAAAGTATTGTTGTTGTTGTTGTTGTTGGTGGTGTTGGTGTTGTTGGTGTTGTTGGTATTGCTGTTGTTATTGTTATTGTTGTTGGTGGTGTTGGTGTTGGTGTTGGTGTTGTTGTTATTGTTGCGGTTGTTGTTGTTGCTGTTGTTGTTGTAGTTGTTGTTGTTGTCGTTGTTGTTGCTGCTGCTGCTGTTGTTGTTGTTGCTGTTGTTGTTGCTGTTGTTGTTGTTGTCATTGTTGTTGTTGTTGTTGTTGTTGTTGTTGTTGTTGTTGTTGTTGTTTGGTGTCGTCGTTCCCCCCGCGACCTGGCCCGCGACCCATCCGCGACCCACCCGGGACCCACCCGCGACCCACACCGCGACCCACCCGCCACACACACGCGACCCACCCCGCGACCCGCCCGCGACCCACCCCGCGACCCACCCTGCGACCCACCCCGCGACTCACCCGCGACCCACCGGCGACCCACACCGCGACCCCCCCGCAGCCCACGTGCGACCCACCCCGCGACCCACCAACATTGCTCGAACGAGGAGGTCGGCGCCAGCGGCTGGCTCGACGTGTTCTTTGTGGAAATTTGGCACCCGCGGCGGGCCTCTTCAGAGCCTCGCAGGCTGCCGACGCCTCCGCCGCCCCCTCCCCCTGATCCGCAACTGCGGGGTGCTACGTATACGCACCAGCGACAGGTAGTAATCGTCACAAAAACAGATTCCAGGCTGAGCGCCTGCATAACACACACACACATTGCGGGACGGTCCGGAAGGGCCAGAAACCGCAGAACAAAATAGCGGTTGCCAACAACGCGCATTACGGCGAGAGAGAGAGAGAGAGTGGAGGAGGGAGGAGTCATGGAGAATAAGGAAGGGAGGGAGGGAGGGAGGGGGCGCAGGAGGTGTGGGGAATAAGGGGGCAATGGGGACTGAGGAGGACACGGGGATGCGGTGGAGGGTGAGGAGAAGGAGGGTGTTCCCCCTCAGACCCCTTCCCTGGCGCACGCGCTCCGCGAGGGCATGAGCGGCTCCCGCACGGTCTCGGACTACGGGCTCTCTCCGGCACGCCCCGTGTACTTGGTCCGGCAGGACAGCGGGGAACCTCCAGCTGCTGCTCTTCCTGCTGCTGCTCCTTGTCCTCGTTGCCGTCGCCGCCACGGTCGACGTCGTCGTCTTCATCCTCCTCCTCCTCCTCGCCCTGGCAGTCGCAGCGAGTGTTCGGCGAGCCTGAAGAGTGGCGCAAACAACGGATCAGCGATCACTCGCCTGTTCTCTTCTCTTCTCTCGAACGCCCTCACTCGCTCAAGCTCTCTGCCCCCATCGCCCTTTGCCCGATCCTGTCTCATCTCTGCTCCGGTCTGTCCTCTCGCCGGCCAGCTCAAGAGTGCGCAGCGACGGCAGATGTTGAGGCATGTGCTCCTCCGGGGCAGGCTCGGCTCGCCGCCAGGTGTCTCAGCGCGTGAATTACCTACCCCGCTTTCGCTTCCAGGCAAAACCAAGCCATGCCACGCGCCTCCCCGTCAAGCTGCTTGACCAGTACAGGCTGCAATTTGGCATCGTTTGGTATCTCTTGGAAGCGAGGGTGGTCAAAAGCGAGGTAGGCTTGTCTTGCCCCCCAGGTGTCGGCGGCAGGCGGGGGAAGACCCACCCAGGGCCTCCGCCGTGCCTCCGAGAGCCTCTCTTTCGCCTGCCTCTCGCGCGGGGGCCTCTCCCGCCCCGCGGCTCGTGCCGCCAGCTGCGGCAGGGCGTGCTCCCAGCCCGCCAGCTGCGCGCCAGTGGTGGGCCCAAACGGTGTTTTTTGGCGATTTCGTGGGCCGTTTTCGTTTCGATGTCGTTTTGCGTGAAAGGTGGATTGAAGACAAGAGGGGGAAAGCGAAAACGAAACGCAAACGAAAAACGCCGTTTAGATTCAGCCCTGCTGCGCGCTGTTCACGCATGGGCTGTTCGAGCGTTCAGCTCGGGCAAGGGCGGCGTCGTCTTGGGACGACCCGAGCGCTTCGGCCCCGTGCACGCTGGGCTGCAGCGCCAGGAGGCTGCGAAACGCCGTCAGGCTCGCGAGCGCGACGCCGACGCCGCGGAGTTGCCCAACGGTGAGACACCGTGCCCTGGACGCCGACAGAGAGCGCTGGGGAGGAAAGCTGCGCATGCCCGATGCTCCGCGCGGTGGGGCCCCTTGTCAGCGACGGAAGTGTCTCGCCCCGGTCTCCGCGTGCACTTGCGCTGGTGCACCGGCAGGTGCCGCGAGCGCGACTCCCGAGCGCAGCTTTCGAGCGCTCCAGCAGTACTGGGGCCCAGTGTTCGAGACAGGTTCTCCATTCGTGAAGGCGGCATCTGGCTACGCTGAGCGTCTTCGACTTGCTTGAGTGGACCTCGCGAACCTCAGGCCGCCCATGTTCAGAGACATGGATGCCTTTTTGGAGCCGAACCCCTCAGAGTGCCCCTGGGCTTCCCGGTCTCCCCTTTTCGGGCCTGGAGGTGGCAAGGGCCCCGAGGTCCTCTATAATTCAGAGCGTGAATTACCTACCCCGCTTTCGCTTCCAGGCGAAACCAAGTCATACCATACGCCTCCTAGTCAAGCGGCCTGACCAGTACATGCCGTAGTTTGGCATCGCTTGGTATCTCTTGGGAGCGAGGGTGGTCAGAAGCGAGGTAGGCTTGCTTGCCCCCTAACAATGCCATGCTGTGGGCTTTGCAGGGCCTCCTCTCTGGTTCTCCTCCTCCTCCTCCTCCTCGTCTGCCTTCCTCCCGAAGCCCTCCGCCCACGACGGAGCTGCGCCCAGCGAGGGCCCAGACGGCCTGCACGGACTCGCTGGCGGCACGCGGCCTGTATGAGTGGCGAGCACGCGTGGCAGGATCGTCGGCTCCGGTTTGAACAGATGCATCGCTCCTGCTGTCCAGCGGCTGGCACCGAGCATGCAGGGGGGATGTGTGGCGCAGCGGAATTTTTGCAAGCAGCACCGATGACTTGGACAGCGCATCGGGACTCGCCTCCATCTGTGCTGGCGCGGCTCCCTCCTCTCTCGACTGCCCTCCGTCCGTCCTCTCTCCTTCGATTTCGCCCAGGCATGTCCCTCCTGTGCTCCAGGCCTGGATGCTCCTCACCCTCCGAGTCTATCAGCTGCCTTGGGGCTTGTGCTTGGCTGCCGCCGTCTTCTACAGCCTCCACCCCTGGTTCTGTGATGTTGGTGGTCAGTTGCGCCTGGTCTATTGGATGCATGCTGGCGTGCCGCAAGGGTGCCCAGTGTTGGGATTTCTAGTCGTGCCGGCGGCGGATTCCTTCCTGCAGGATCTACGCCGCGGCATAGATAGAAAGACTCGGGGGCGTGTGCGGGCCTGTGCCGACCATGTTGGGCTGCTGTGTGAGGGAGGCGCGCTTACCATGTTCTGGCGCGCATCTTTAAACTTGCGTAGATTATTTAAAGGCTGCCGCCTCTGCCGCCGACCCCAAATGGGGTCTTGTGTTTTCTTTGTTGTCCGGGTCGTTGCGAGCGGTTCCCGCAACTGCGGGGGAGAGAGGAGGGTGGTATTCAGTTTGAGTAGATGACGATGGGCGCGCATTGCGTCTTCTGCGGAATGCGTGTGTAGAGCCCGAAGTGCGGGAGATTCCAGGCCTGGACTTTGGCCTGTGGGCCAGTTCCGCGCCCGGATGGGTTGCAGGAAGCGGCGGAGATCTTGGAAACGGCGAAAGGCAACGCCGTGGTTCTGGAGAAGAGCAGCTTCGATGACGGGGATATCAATGCCCAGCGCGTGGAAGCCTTACGAAGTTTTGTACAGCGGGTGTCGCCAGAATGCGAACACGATGGAACCAGCGAGCGCACGGATCATAGCGAGAGTGAGTCGGAGCACGAAGGTGCCCGAGCGAAGCGCCCGCGCGAAGGCGGGCGAGAAACGGAGCCCGACGTCGCGCCGGCGAAGGAGAGGGAAGACGCGAGATTTTTGACAGAGGCGCTGGAGAGGAACGAACGAGTGGATCGTTTGCGGGTATGTACGGGGAACACAATGATGGATCAATTCGAACCGTGGTATTTCGGCGTGGCTTTTGCGTTCATTTTCAAGTATTGTACAGGCATGCCCGACATGCCGGCCTTCTTGAAGCGTCCGCGGTATCGGCGTTCGGAAGAGGCCCCGCGTGTGGAGTTGCCGCTGTGGGTTCGCATCATGAGTCGTCGCGTAGAGAGCCAGTTGGCGCGCGATTGGCATTTCGGGTTCGTGTCGTGGAACTTGGTATTTCGTTCAGCGGTGAACCTGAGCAGGACGTGGTTTACGTACGTGTCAGCGAACCCGAAGGACCTGGACGCGCAGATCACGGCCGAGGAAATCAGCGAAGGGGCGAAGCAGATCTACCGTGCATTGGCGGGGAAATACCAGGACGTGAACGGTAAGAAGCAGAAAGTCATGGGAGACATGACGAAAGTGCGCCACGTCCCGGGCCTAGGTAGAGCTGCCCACAAGTTGCTCGCGAACATCGAGCACACGTCCCGGCGGCTACCAGGGACGCAAGAGACACGACGGGTCATGCGGTTCCAAACGAACGCGCTCCGCGTACGGTACGGGGTCCCCATTTTCGTTACCTTTTCTCCCGACGAAGGGCACAATATGATCATGGTACGGTTGTCGCGCACGCGGCGCCGTGACCCCGTCCACAATGCGGCGGACGACGCCGACGACGCGGCTGCGTCACGGGCCGCTGGTAGTAAGGAGTGGCCACAGGTCGCTCCAGAGACGGATGATGTGCGCGCGGCAATCCCGCTGGCGGCGATCCTGTCGCGAGTGCCTCCCTGGGCGGATCGCAGAAAGATACTCGCTCGGGATCCGATGGCAAGCGTGGACGGTTTCCGTGTGATTGTGGACGCGACGATGCGGCATCTTTTCGGACTGCGCACCTGTCCGAATTGTCCGGACTGCAACCATAGTAAGCAAATGTCGCCGTGCCAGGACTTATTCGGCAGCAACGCCGCGCCGGAAGGTGGAGTGTTCGGCAGGGTGGACGCGTGCTATGTATCCATCGAAGCGCAGAAGTCGACGGGCGCGCTCCATGCGCACTGTCAGGTGTTCATACAGTGTCTGCACCAGCACACGCCGCTGGACAAAATCTTCGAGCTCGTCCGGAACAATGCGGATGGATGGGGGCGGGAGTTCGTGAAGGAGTCGTTGGAGTACAAGCGACGGGTCTGCCGTCAGGAGTACTCGGCGCGTATCACCCCAGAGGAGCTTCAGAAGAATCTGGCAGAAGCGGAGGCCGCGTGGCCCGAGTACAAGACCGAATTTGGGCTGGTGTGCCGTCCGACGTATCAGACTCGCAGGGCGGGGCAGGGAGTGACGCAGCTGGAAGAGGCGGAGGAGGCGCGTGTGTGGGAGCGAGCGTACCTCGACCAAGATGTGCAGTACCTTCAAGAGCGGAAGCAGAACCATGTGCATCTGGAGAACCCGGAAACGGGGGAGAGGGTGCCCTTGCCAGCGTGTCGTCGGAAGGACAACCCGAAGCTCTGTAAGGCCGATTTCCCACGAACGTCGCAGATCATCGATCGTCCGGCTGTGATCTGCCCAGGGCTGGCGTCGCAGCTGGATATGCCGAAGGCTGGCAGGCGGAACCGCGTCGGGAGTTTGCATGGGCCCGTGAACCATGAGAGCCTGAATGGGACACACCCATGCATGCTTGCCGCGCAGCGTTTCAATTCTGACGTGCAGTTACCGTACAGAGTCCCGATCACCAGCGAAAGCTGCACGTGCGGGAAGGGATGTGCGGAAAAGCAGAACGACGCAGCTATCATCAAGGTGGTCCAGATCGCTCAGGACGCCCAGGCAGGGTACGCGTGCGACTACTGCACGAAGCGCCAGCCTATGGCCTTCCATGAAGTCCGCGAGTGCTCCAAAGGGATCCAGAAGCTCAGTCGGCAGTTGCACGGGGAGAACGCGAACTACGTCGGTAAGCGGATGACGACGCGCATCATGAGTGACGCCTACGGGAAAGGCATCGTTCGCGGCCAAGTGGAGTGTGCGAATCTTCGAGCGTATGCCGTGGAGAAGGATGTGACGTCGGCAGAGTCGATCAAGACTTGTGAGACGTCCAGTTTCTTCGGACGCGAGTACGTAGAAACGGTTGAGAGGTTGTCGGACGGCACAACCGGAGGGCGCAAGGCTCAGTTCGCGGAGGTTGATATGCGAAATCCAAGGCGGCGGAAAGTCACTATCAGGGACGTTGCCATGTTGTACGGGCTTCGTCCAAATCGGGACGGCCTGTGGCACTTGTCGCCATACGAGTTCGCTACGTATTGGAGGCCCGTGCTCGTGTCATACCCTACCAGTCTCAGGGACGCTGACGCCGATCTGGACAGGCACCATGCGTTCTCGACGGCGACAGGAAAGCAAAAAGTAAAGGAAAATAGTCGGAGTCAGGGGCAGGCGGAAGAGCTAGTGCCTGGGGTGGATTACATGGTGAAGGGCGACGCAGGGAAAGATTGGGTGGCGTACCCGGACACTGACGGATGCCGGCACCTGCGACACACGTGGGTTCTTGTCAGGAACAAGAGGCCTATGGCGCCAACCTTTTTCGGGGCACCGGTGCCTCGCAGCCGACATGGAGAAGCTGAGCGGTCAGCGCGAATTGTAATGTCTTACTTCCACCCGTGGACGTTGCGACAGTCAGAGGCCGACAATCACGTGGTGTTCGCAGGCGCACTGCGACGGGCCGCGAAAACGTGGGAAGCCGCCATGGTTGCGTGGTTGGACGGCGGAGTTCAATCGGAAGAAGCTGCGCGGTACGTTGGGAACTTCCTGAGCGTGTATCGCGTGCGTCCGAGGGATGCGGAGCATGATGAGGCTCGGAGTGACGAGGACGTGAGTGACGAAGAATTGGAGGTTGGATTCGACCAGCTGGACGAGGCTCTGAAGTCACGCGTCGGGGGTCGGAAGCGGGACGACGGCGACGGTGACAGCAGTTGTGAAGAAGAGGTTGGTGGGGTGGAGGGTGGTCTTAGTGGCTGTACACATTATGAGAACTCGAAGGCAGGCATGGCCAAAGCCCAGGAGGTGTGGGGCCGGCGCCCAAACGAAAAGTCGCTGAGTGAGGTGCGAAACGCGTGGCCCACAGCCGTCGAATGTGATCTGGAAGCTGTTCAGGCCGCAGCAAGGGCATCGCGAAACAAGGAGAAGTCAATGGCCGACAGAGTGACTGCGGAGGAAGGGTATGGGAAGGTGGAGGCTCAGGCAGGGGCGACATCACAAGAGATTGCAGAGTGGCTCAGAAAACTTGAGCATCGGACTGACAAGGACACAGGCCGACGCGTGGTCAACGCGAAACAGTTCGAGATGGTGAAGCAGGTAGCAGAGAGGGTGATGGAAGAGCTGGACGGGGAGGCACGAGGGGGCGCGGGCATGGGTGACCCGCTGCGGTGGTGTATGCACGGAGGGCCCGGCACCGGGAAGTCGCACGTGCTGCGTATTCTTCGGAAGGAGCTGTTCGAAGGCTTGATGAAATGGACGATAGGCGTCCATTTTCAGATCACGGCCTTCCAGGCAGTCATGGCGCAGCTGCTCGGTGGAGACACCATCCACCACGCCTGCGGTATCCCCGCCGTGAAGCGTGGTGACGAGAAGGGCGAGGATGTGAAACTGCAGTACGAGACGGCCAAGCGAGTTCTGCAGTGGAGGTGGTTGTTCATAGACGAGATCAGCATGGTGAGCGCCCGGCTGCTCGCCGAAGTGGACCAGAAACTTCGCAGCGTTATTCGGGACATTGGCACCCAGAAGCGCGGGGAGGACGGAGTGACGCGACCCTTCGGCGGTTTGAACGTCGTTCTGAGCGGAGATTTTTGGCAGCTGGCCCCTCCGGACGGAGGGTTCCTTGCAGACGTGCCAGCAGAGCGCGTCGCGGCGGCACGGAAGTATACCTCGCTCCCGCCAGTGCTACACGGGCAGGCTCTCCTGTGGGGGGGAGGTAACGAGGGCGTGCAGGGGGTAACGGAGCTAGTGGAGTGCGAGCGCTGCGACGATGCCTGGCTGAAATCCGTGCAAGAGGAGTTCCGCAGAGGAGACCTCACGGAAGACACGCATTCATTTTTGCACGGGCGTGATACTGGAGTCCCGGGGAGTTGGCTCCATGGTGTGGTTGGATGTGGGAACGCGAGATGTAGGGCCTTGTGCGACGCCGCAGGGGTCTCAGAGAAGGAAACTGTCGGAGCACGCCGTCAGCGCGCGATGTCCCCGAAGGAAATACGCAGACAGGAATGTGCGGTGTGCAAGCATGAGCGCGAACGGCGCCGTCTCGTCATCGACGGTCCAGATGACGCGCGCATGCGCACGGCGAAGTTCCGGTTCGCCCCCGGGGTGTTCCCGAATAACGACGTGAAGTATGAGGTGAACAAACTCCGAGCGTCGCAATACGCCCGACTGCACGAGAAACCTCTGGTGTACGTGCCTGCGCGCGACACTCCGACACCAGATGCGCTGCGAGAGCGGCCAGATCTGCCACATCAAAAGATGGCCTGGCTGCAGCGCCACGACAAGGAGAGCGGGGACCTGTATGGTTTTTTGCCAATCGCGGAGGGAATGCCTGTGGCCCTCACAGATCATATCGACCGCAGCGAGGACAAGTACCTACTCCGCGGACGCGTGGGGACCGTGCACTCATGGGTGTGTGATGGCGACGAAGGAGCGGGTCGCGTCTCCCGGGGGGGGGAGACCATATTGCAGAAGACGCCGAAAGTGATATTTGTCCTCTTCGATGAGGGTCGCGATGACGCAGGGAACGTGATTCCGTGCAAGTGGACGATCCAGGGGCTGAAGACGCCGGGCCTGCACCCAGTGACTCCGCAGAAAAAAGATTGGTTCGTCGACAAGGGCAGGCCGTACCCGCGTCTGAAAGTGAAGCGGCGGCAATTCCCCTTGGCCCCAGCGTTTGGAGTCACCGCCCATTCAGCACAGGGCCAGACTTTTAAGCAGGGTGTCATCGTGGACCTCAGGATTGGCGGGGGCACGTCGCCGTTGTCGAGTTATGTGGCTCTGACGCGCGTGCGTCGCCGCGAAGACATGTTGATATTTCGGCCTTTCGACCGCGCGCCGTACACTCAGAAGGAGCGGAAGGGCCCCGGATTACTGTTACAGGTGTTGCGGGGAGACCCGATGGACTGGGATGCAATCGAGAAGGAGTTCATGCCTGCAGGGATGTGCGCACTGTGCTCGTCGGTGAAGTACAAGAACCAGTACGCGGTCGGGCAGTGGAGCCGGGACGACGGTCGCCGCGTGTGCCAGGTGTGCTTGGAAGGCAAGAAGAGCAGTGGCACGCCGTGGCAGTGCACGGAATGCTTTCTGTGGAAGGGCCAGGATGCGTTCCATGCATCCCAGCACCACAGCTCGAGACTCACGTCACGGCGTTGCGTGGACTGTCCTGAGAGGCGAAAGTGTTATGTATGCGAGGGCCGGAAGTACGAGGAGGCGTTCGTGGGTTTGCAGTGGGACAAGGCAGGGAACGCCCGATGCAAAGGGGGAATGTGCCGGGACTGCGAAGACGCGAAAACGCACCTGAAGTGTTCGCGCTGCGGCCAGGAGAAGTTACTAGATCAATTTGCCAAAGCGGAAACTATCATCAGCGAGGAACCCACTTGCAAGGCTTGTAAGAGGTTGCAGAGAGAGGAGGAGAAGGCCCGTGCCGAAGAGGCAAAAGAGCGCGTGTGTTCCAACTGCGGAATCCCCAAAAGGAGAACCGAGTTTTCAGAGTACATGCTGAAGAACGCGCCGAAAGCGTCGATGCAATGTAGGGAATGCGTAAACGCTGCAGCAGCAGAGCGGGATCAGGCGGCGAGGAAGGACATTAAAACTTGCGTGGTGTGGGGGGTCCCAAGAACAGAGGCGTCATGGTGTGGGAGTGCCGGAGCGTGGTGGGGGGCGCGGTGGGTTGTATCGGTCGGTTTTGGGCGAGAAATGGTGGGGTGGGGGGTCCCAAGAACAGAAGCTCCATGGGGTGGGAGTGCCGGGGCGTGGTGGGGGGCGCGGTGGGGGGTATCGGTCGGTTTTGAGCGAGAAATGGTGGAGTGGGGGGTTTGAAAAACAGAAGCTCCAAGGGGTGGGAGTGTCGGGGCGTGGTGGAGGGCGCGGCGGGGGGTATCGGTCGGTTTTGGGCGAGAAATGGTGGGGTGGGGGGTCCCAAGAACAGAGGCTCCATGGGGTGGGAGTGCCGGGGCGTGGTGGGGGGCGCGGTGGGGGGTATCGGTCGGTTTTGGGCGAGAAATGGTGGGGTGGGGGGTCCCAAGAACAGAGGCTCCATGGGGTGGGAGTGCCGGGGCGGTGCGAGGTATCGGTCGGTTTTGGGCGAGAAATGATGGGGTGGGGGGTCCCAAGAACAGAGGCTCCATGGGGTGGGAGTGCCGGGGCGTGGTGGAGGGCGCGGTGGGGGGTATCGGTCGGTTTTGGGCGAGAAATGGTGGGGTAGGGGGTCCCAAGAACAGAGGCTCCATGGGGTGGGAGTGCCGGGGCGTGGTGGGGGGCGCGTGGGGAGTATCATCGGTTTTGGGGGAGAAATGTTGGGGTGGGGGGCCCAAAAACAGAGGCTCCATGGGGTGGGAGTGCCGGGGCGTGGTGGAGGCGCGGTGGGGGGTATCGGTCGGTTTTGGTCGAGAAATGGTGGGGTGAGGGGTCCCAAGAACAGAGGCTCCATGGGGTGGGAGTGCCGGCGCGTGGTAGGGGGCGCGGTGGGGGGTATCGGTCGGTTTTGGGCGAGCAATGGTGGAGTGGGGGGTCCCAAGAACAAAGGCGCTTGGTGGGAGTGCCGGGGCGTGGTGGGAGGCGCGGTGGGGGGTATCGGTCGGTTTTGAGCGAGAAATGGTGGGGTGGGGGGTCCGAAGAACAGAGACTCCATGGGGTGGGAGTGCCGGGGCGTGGTGGGGGGCGCGGTGAAGGGTCTCGGTCGGTTTTGGGCGA